TGCGCTTTGTGATTCCAGCTGCGTCTTGTCCTGTCAAACGGGCCGCGTACGAAGAGGGCGGCAAACGAGAGTTTCACGGATACTTCGCATTTATTTGTCGATTTATTTCGTAGACCATTTCACTTTGGGAAAACTTCCTTTGCGAAAAACCCCCGGAAAAAAACCTCCGGAAACTTCCCGGAAGAAAGAATAATTATAAACGAAGGCTGGGAATCATCGTGTCAGGGGCATTTGTTGTGTGTTTTCAGCTTAGCTGGTCTTGTTCGTCGTGTCGGCGGGCGACGAGGAAGGCCGGGAGTTTCGCGACACGTACTCCGCCTCGCACGCAGTCTACAGCCGCTACCAGGTGGCGGTGCACGGCGATGCGCCGCACAAGGTCGACGCCAAGCAGCACCGGCGCTTCCTGGTGGACTCGCCGCTGCAGGTAGCACCCCCTGGATGTTGTCGATTACGACTGGATGGATCAGAGTCGCACTCTACTGGTTTCGCGATTTTGAAAAAAGAAATGAAGATAAGGATGTGCGGAGTCAAGGAGGAGAAAGAGGAGGCAAAGTGATTTGATGTGTACGAGAGGTCCTGTTCTATTATATTTTTAATAATATATGCGGATGTGATTCGTTGTTCCCTTGCATTTCCTTATTTTGGATCGGACCAAAGAAGTAAAATGGAACATATAATGACATAGGATTTAATTAGGACAAATATTGAGATAGGGATGGAAGAAAGTAAAATAGAATGGAACGGAAATTTGTCACTTTATTAATCCCCTGCACCTGGTATATATGTTTGTGTGTAAACAGGCGTAGAGGACAGGGGTTGATGGATCCTACCAGCAGAAGATTATGCCAACCACTACGGAAGTTTATCCGTATATTATATTTTAGAACGAAATTTCTATTCCTGTTATTCAAGACCACTGACGTACCAGTTTGTAATCGAAACTACGAATTTCACTTGTGGATCGTCGAATATTTTTTTGATTCGTTGTTAATTTAGTTAGATTATATTTTAAAATATTTTTTGTTAATTAAGAAATGCGAGGAAATTGCATACTATATAATAATTCAAAAAATTTTACTACCAGGTTGGCCGATGACCGGGACCCCCTAGGCAGAAAGCTTCGGGTCACTTGTACGCTGACCTGAATACTTACTAATTTGATGGCGAGAAACTACAGATTGCTTCATATATGTGTTGGCATCTCTGCTACCACCAGCAGTACTGGCTGGACGGACGACTCATCCCTCCCCTCTTCTCCCCTCACCCCTCCCCTTCCTCCTACATAACCTCACCCCTCACCCCTCTCCTCCCCTCACCCCTACAACCATGTCAGAGGTATTATTAGCTCTTGATATATATGTATGTGTGTGTAACAGGAGGAGGCGGGGCGTGGATCCTACCACCAGCAGTACTGGCTGGATGGACATCTCACCCCTCCCCTCCTCCTCCTACATAACCTCCTCTCCTTCCCTCACCCCTTCCCTCCCCTCCTTAACCATGTATATATATATGTATGTATATATGTATGTGTGTGTGTAACAGGAGGAGGCGGGGCGTGGATCCTACCACCAGCAGTACTGGCTGGACGGACGACTCATCGCGGTCGGAGTGCTGGACCTTCTCCCTCGCTACGTCTCCTCCGTCTACTTGTACTACGACCCGGACTACAGCTTCCTCTCTCTCGGCACCTACGCCGCGCTCAGGTGAGAGGGGGAAGGCGGGGAAGATTCCCGGTCGTTCCCGTATTGGGTTATCGCTCGCTGGATCGATCGGATGTCGACGATCGATCGGTTGATGTGACTGATTAATTTGATTGATTTAAATTGACGGATTAATTTTGATGTTTAATCGGTTTTGCGTGCGTTTAATTCATTTTCGTGAATGATTAATTTTCGTGATGATTAATTTTGGTAATTAAATGATTGAATTGGTAAATGGATTAAAAATATTTAATGATTACTTGCTTGATTTTGTTAACTAATTAGATATGCTAATTAATTGATTGATTTCGTTAACCGAATAACTATAATCGATAAATAATTTTCGCTAATAGTTTTGGTGTCCATGAGCGGCGTTCACGCTGCCAGGGGGCGTCGACGATGTTGGCCGCAGCACGACTGACCGCAGGCGTTCTTTTGTTTTTCCGGCGTTGCAGAGAGGTGGCGCTGACACGGCAACTGATGCGGGAGGACCCGCGCATGCGTTACTATGGCATGGGCTTCTACATACAATCGTGTCCGAAGATGCGCTACAAGGTAGGGGGCGCCACCTGGCATGCGCCGCTCATGATTTCACGTGCTTAGGTGCCACCTGTTGGCAGCCATAGACGATTTGCATGCTACCAATGCCACCTGTTGGCAGCCCTAGACTATTCTTGTGCTACCGACGCCACCTGTTGGCGGCCGTAGATGATTCGACGTAGTAGTGACTTAGCGCGCTACCGACGCCATCTGTTGGCAGTCACGAGCATTAATGCGGTGTTTCTGGTCGGCAGGGCAACGTGCGACCGGCGCAGCTGCTGTGCCCACAGGCGTACACGTGGAACCCGCTCGCAGCCAGCGTACCGAAGCTAGACGCGAACAAGTACAGCCGGCTGGACGATAGTGACTGCGGTGAGTGACCGCCTCACACCCAGCCTGTACCTAGCAGTGACCTCACCCTGCCTCACACGCTACAGGCTAGGGGTCACTGCTAGGAGGGTGTAGGTACAGGCTGGGTGTGAGGCTGTGAGGCAGGGTGAAGGGTCACTGCTACAGGCTCCTAGCAGTGAC